AGAGCTAAGGTTAGGGCTTAGAGTAGAGCTAGGCTAGGCTATGAAAAGGGCTAGGGAGCGGATAAAGGCTAATCTGCAGATGTTATGCACTAAAAACTAGACTAGAAATACAAACTTCGTTATGGATGAGAGATTTTGAAAAGAAATAATACTATGCTGGACAAAAATTTAATTGTCTGCTGTAGTTGGACTTTCGCCCTTAATTCTAATATTTAGTTCAGTGTCGTGAGAATTGAAATTAAAACTTCATTAAAGGATGCTCAATAAGTTAACATATTTTTTCTTAATCGTTGCTTTATAAAGCTGACAAAATCTTGAAGAAAATGCTTAAGCAGAGCATTTAATAATATTTTTGAAAAACATTCAACAAACATTTCTTTTGCGCATCAACACGAGTTTCATTTCATTTCCATTGCTGTCCGAAGGCTTTACATTTTGCACAAACAAATCCATTTCGAATACTATATAGTATATTTAATAATAACAACAAGCCTTTATGTCAACGGCACGTTTTCGTAAAAATCCTGTCTGAATATTTAAAATGGAAAATTGAATTTCGAAACAACAATCAGAGTCATTGTTTCGATGCGACGCGTCGTAGGCTGTTTAGTCGCAAACACGTTTGGAAAATAAAATTGTAGAAATTCTGTAAGTTCTCTATTTTTAGGCTTACATTATTTGTCCATTTGGACTTTTGCTTCTCACTTTGTGTGTAGATTGTGTATTTATTTGAAATATTTGTTCAACAAGTCGTCTGATGCCGTTAGTTTTTATTTTATTGTCAATATTTGCGCACTGTTGGATGGAAAATTTATGAAAAACAAAGACACGAGACACGAGCAGCCCCTCAGAACAGACCAACAAAACAAATACATTGTAAAAGGCATTAACGCTAATTAGCCGACTATAAGCTGGCGTTAAGGTTCAAATAGAAAAATGCAAATACGGGATAGGTACTAGATGGGGAAATGATAAATTAGATAATCGTAGATGGAGAAAAATGCACTCTAGTTAAGTTTGATGTTTTATAAGTGATTGCTTTATAATTTTTCCCTTCAATTTACCCCTTTTCGGGGCTGAAGTATGTGAATATTTCTTTGAAGAAGGTTCATGAAAAATACTAGATGGGGGAATGCTATGAATATATGCTCGTAGATAGACAGAAGTGCACTCTAAAGAAGTCGAGTACTGAGCGAATTATTTGTTTGACTGCTTTATAATTTTTCGCTTCAATTTACCCCTTTTTGGGGCTTAACTATGAGGATAATTGTGTGAAGTAGATTCTTGAAAAATACTAGATGATGAATGCTTTGAATAGATAAGCATTGATGGATGAAAATTCACTCTAAAGAAGTCGAGTATTTATGTGACTGCTCTTTATATTTTTTCCCTCAATTTACCCCTTTTTGGGGCTTAAATATGTTGATAATTGTATGAAAAAGGCTTCTATCTATGTCTAAACAAACAACTGAATAAAAATTAAAAACCGCTATTATTAATGTCCTTGATTTGCTGCCATAAAAACTTTATTGAAACATTCGCCCAAAAACAATGAAATGTTTAACAAAAATTGTAGTTTTAGGCCAACAGTGGCGCGTCCTCAAACCAAAGGGTAATGTCTTCGGTTGCTTGTCTATCGTCTTCAGCGACATGAATAAGACTGCGCCCCATGGCATCCTTGCCCATTGACTTCACAAGCCTGCGTCCCCATTCAATGGCATTAATGCCCTTAAATATCATGGGAACTACTTGTCCGGAGAGCATGTATTGCAATAGTTCTTCATAGTAACTTTCGTGAGCTATCTTCTCATAATGCTTCTGGAACACAATCTTGGGGGGGCGTATGACTTTCAAGCCCACCAATTTACAGCTGTTCTCATCGAAATATCCTACGATGGCTCCAGTTAGGCCTAGTTTGACGCCAGCGGGCTTTATTAAAACGAACGTATGCTCCATTTTTTGTTTGCTTAGTAAATATTACTGGAAAGGCAACTACTTGACATGTGAAAAAAAGGCTATAACTCGACAACTATTGAACTTAAATGGGGCTATGTGCACACTTTGTTAACTTTAATTCTTAGACTTTCCAAGATTTGCGCATTCATACAGACAGACTAAAAATGTGAGGCCTCTTTTGAATATCGTGATCAATCGATTTTTCTCTCTCGTCAAGCAGTAGTGGAGAACTTGCCCATCTCTTCACATTCGTTGCACTTGTTGTCCTTGCACTTGATTCCATTAACGAACTCTGGCCTCTATAGTGCGCTTGGGCTGCAGCTTTTATTAGTTGCCATTCAATCGGTTGTGCCGTGCGTCCATCGTTGTCGTCCCCCGCACCTCTCACCATCTTTTTTACCTTTCAATCACTTTTTGTCAATTTCAATTATGCGCCACGCCAAAGCAATCAGCGCCGTCCGTTCAAACTGTTCGCTCGCCCCACCCAGGCAACTTTGTCATATTTCCACCAAAGCGTTGAACTGATTTCATACTCTACACGAATAGGGCGTGTTCGATTTAAAACGTTTGACTATCTGAACGCTGATAGCTTCTAAAACAACCTGAGCTAGAGCCAACCAAGTGGACAAATGGGCTCTACTAACCATTTTGTAAATCGTGTTTATAATAAAATAGATATTATATATATATATTCAGCTGATATTGGAACAATTGGTTAAAAGCAAAAAATTGTTGCAGAAAGCTGAATTTGATTCACAAGTTTATTTCAAAGCTTTTCGAAATATCAATTCAGAAGTTTTCCGTTAATTCGTGTAAAATCGTATGAACAAATGAAATTCTTCGAATATTGTTCCTTTGCATAGCATAGTTATTGTTTAAAAAAAGGAACTTCTTGGTAACAGAAGTTGAAGAAGCGTCAGGAGAAACACTTCGTTTCTAAATAATATACTTGTAATAATAATAATAGTTATATAATATAATAATATTTACATGGAAATGTAAAGCTATTGGTTCGTTAATGTTATCTAAGAGGTGTAAGAATCCTCCGATATTGCTAGTTTTGGATGATTTCCATTAAACCAGCTGGATATATAGTAATAGTTTTGATAATAAGAAAAGTTCTTGACCTTTTAAAACATCTCTGAATATACGATCAGGCCTAGAGTTTGGTATGAAAATTTAAACAATGTTGAACATTACTTCTAAGCAGCCATGTAGCATTTAAAAGGCGGGGACTACCATCGATGACAGATCGATAGAACCCAACCATAGTGTCGATAGTGCCATTGATAGTTCTACACCCCTACCCTTGCTTCTTCCGTTACAGAGTTTTGTCAATTCCCTTCAGATAGATTTCCCTACATAGATTTAGTAATTACATGCCCCAGAACAGCATCAACGGATCCGTTAATAACACAGTGGGGGATGATTCTGTTTTTTTGAGTACAGGGTATTTGACGGTCGGACTTGCTCGACTATAACATACGTTCTTGGTAAACTTTATTCTATTGCAACGGTATATGAAAAGCCACTTTCTTCCGCAACAAACTGGAGTGTCCCAAGCATCTGAGCTATCGACTCCAATTGGGTGTAGCGTGTTTCGTAGTCGGAGAGGCCCCACAGAGGCAACAAGTCAATAAACTGCCGGCCGTTGGTGACGTTTTCCGACTGCGTGTGTTCGACTGCTCTCAATTTTTGTTATTTATTTATTTTTTCTTCAATTAAAGCCACTGGGGTCAAGGATTAATTTGTGTAGCCATGTGTGTGTGTGTGTGTGACCCGGCAAGCGTTTTGCGCACTTGTGAGTATGTGCGTCTATATTTTATTTAATTTTTTGCTCCACTTGAGAATCAGAAAAGTGGAGAAGAATGTGACACAAGGAGAAATCATCTTCTTCGCCCCCTTCTCTCTCCACTGCCGCCTGACATTCATTCAGTCATGGTCAGCAATTGTACTATATATTTACCTCTTTGGTGTTGTCGTTGCCGTTGCCTTCAGACAATGTCAACAATTATTTCATTTACAATTCGAGTCGCCGACAGACGACTATCTTCCTCATAAAAAACATCTTAAGAAATGAGAAACAAAAGGAAAGAAAGGCAGAGGCGCGCAATTAAAAAATATACATAAATTTCATGGCATACATCTGCATAATTCGCAATAATTGGGCAGGCGGGCGCTAAAGGTGCCATTTAAGACAACTGTGATTAAATATAAACAAATAAAAGAGTAACAAGAATTCCGAAAAAAGAACAAAAAACGCCAAACAATGACAATGAAAGTATTTTAAACATTTTGCTTGTCTTTTTACATTAAAACAGCTGTGCAAATTTGAGCTACCATTAAAGAAGAAACCCACAAAGTACTCTGTAGTATTCTATATATCACAAATTATATATATATAGCACAATTTATTCCAAAAAGATCAAACAAAAAGCTATTGTTGAGCATTTGCGAGTGAAGTGCGCCACCTAGCGTCTGGTAGCGTATTTACGCTACTGCCACCGCTGTTAACTGTGTCTCTGTTAATGCACAGACTGTTAGCAACATGTAACGTGCATTTGCCTAATCGATATATAATTTAAATACAAGCTGCTGTGCATTTTAAAATAAGTAAATAGTGCGAAATGTCGGCTGTCAAACGCTGGATTTATCGTCACACCCATTCGCACAATGCGTCATCGTCGGGGCCACCGCCCACATCGCCCACTGTTAAAACGCCGCGGGGTCGCAGCCACTCGCTCGATGTACAGGCCTTGCAAAACAGCGGCCTGCGCAACCTGATGCTCCAAAATAATGTAAGCAGCGTACATACAGAAATAACATATGTACATATGTATGTATGTATGTATGTATGTATGTATGTATGTAGGTGTAAAGTAATCTATTAGATAACAGCGCGCTGTTAAGCAGTTTGGTTGGGGGTTTGTGTACAAGCTAAACGCTCATGCGCAATTGACTTGCTCTCAACAGCTCTGCGCGCTCACTTTTAAATATATTTATTTAAAATATTACTAAAGATAGGTTTTCTTTTTTATTTGCAGCGTGTTGCGGCGCATCAACAACAGTTAGCTGTGCAGAGTAAGTATAAAGTTTCTTTTCCTTCTTACTACCACTTAGTCCCAAACTACAGCAAGTACCAGTATATTTATTTATATTTATATTATATTTACATTAATTAGCCTTTGCGTAAATGTTTACAAAACAACTTAAACGTTTTGTGTAAGTTTCTAATTAAAGTGTTGTCAGTTTTTCAACTGACAGAACATTGCCGCAAACAACAACAAAATATGTATCTAAATTACAAACGCAAACAAATAAACGCAGCAAACAGTCAGATATGCGATACATATGTACATAGATATGTATGTGTATAAACACGCATAATATGCTGCGCAAATTAACCTTGACTTTGAAAAACACAAACAAAAAAATCACTGACAACAGCAAATAACGCAAAAGTAAAACAAACAAACAAACAAACAATATAAAATGAAATAAAACAAAATGTAAAACTGACAACGCTGCTTGATGACTACTTTACATTTGTACTGCTGTTAAGGAGCAGCGATACACTGTTAAGTACTGTGTATCTTGTAACGCCATTTACATATGTATGTAAATGCGTTTGCGTTTGCAGAGTGTGGAATTAATTTAAAGTAAACAGCACAGCGCATTTCACAGAGTGCTGTTCCATGCACTTATCGCATTTGTGCAGCTGTTTCGTTTAATTGTTGTCACATTTTAGCTCAAATTTACTCTCTTATATCAATTCTCAAACGAAAATATTGGAATGGGGTCACATGGCTTAAACACCAATTAGCACGAAATGCTTGCGAATTTGCACATTTTACTTCCAGTGTTATATTTTGGGGTTGGTCAACATTTGTTTAAGATTTTAAGAGCAAATATCGAATTTAAAGAAATGGCGTCTTCGCTTACTTACACACTAAAACAAAATCCATTAAATGCAGACAGTAGTGCTGTTGATCTTTTGAATTTAGCTCTCGTTAATAAATAAATTCAATAAAGTTACAAAGCAATAAGAGATTCCTATACAAATACCATTTCAATTTGCAAGCAATGAGGAATTGAATTGTATAAAAAGGAGATAGAATTATGACAGGGTTAGGTTATTCCGGTGGACCGCCATTGTCACGAAAGCAAAAATTGGGGCTTAGAGTTTGCATTCGAGATCAGTTTGCAGATCAGTTTAGTAATTCAAACAAACTCTAAATGGAATATAAAGACGAAGTTAACATCCTCAGGAGCTTAAGCTTTTAAAGACGGATGCAATTTTGCCTAAATTTAATATGCATGCACTTTTAACCACTTCCGGTGTAGGGTAGAACAAAAAGTATAAATACATATATCTAAAAATTAATGATTTAATTACAAATCGCGTGAGTTTTGATTTTACGATATTTATTTCAGCGTAAATGGTTGCACTTTTCTTTTACATAATTCATAAAAATAGCAGCCTATTTACAGATTTGGACTTTGGGTTTCTCCTATTATTGTTGCGCCCAATTGTGTCGCAAATGTGCACAGCACACGAAAACAAAATAAAAACAACTGCTAGAACGGTATAATATGCAATGGCGACGATGTCGGCTGTTGTTCATAATAATTACAAACCATGTCGAGTGAGACAATAACAACAACAGCAGCAACACACACAAATGGCATATGTCATCATAATTTATGATGAATTAAGTAGAAACCATAAAACTGTTTACAATAAAACTTGTACTGTTAATATTATACTATTGCTGTAGTTGTTATTATACATGAATACATATGTACATACATATTTAAACTAAACACATTAACATTAACACATTAAAACTAGAGCAGAACATAACACCCACGCACACAAGCACAAGAAAAGTTAACAGCTCGCTTAAGGTACATAGTTTTAAAGAGAGGGAGGGAGAGTGAATGCTCTGTATGGTTGTTGTTCTTGTTATGCTGTAACTGCAAACTAACTGTTGCGTCCGGCGTTGTCGTCGCCATCATTCTTGTCCTTGTTGTTGCTGTTGTCTACATTTTATAAATGTATACACACATACCCTTTGCTTGACCTTGAAAGTTTTGTGTACAGACTGCAAGCGCAGTTTGCAGTTGTTGTTATTTATGCTGCATTTTCAATGTCATGCATGAAGAGAGAAAACAAAATAAAACAACCACCTGGTGCGTGTGCTGCAATACAAAACAAGCTTCGCTTCTGCTCACCTCCTCCCCCCATTGTCACTCTCTTTAACTCGATCTCTTTCACGCGCATTGAGGTTTTGCCCCTCAGTCTGTTGAGTTTTCGAACTTTACTTTTTCGGGTATTCCATTTTAAGGCGATTTTTGTTATTTTGAATTTGGTGTTTTGATGTTTATGTTGTTGTTGTTTATGTTGCCTGTCAGGCGTCGTATCAAGTGTCTGGCGTTTGCAACAGCGATGACGTAATGCGTTTTATTCTTCGTTTTTGCTCGCCTGTTTTTTGTGCCAAGCTGAATCATGTGTGACGACCGGCCGGCCGGCCGGCCATTTGAATGCACAAGTAAATGCATATTTTTTGCTTAACAACATTCGATCAGTTTACAAAATTAGTGCGCTTCGGTTATATGAGAATGTACATAAGTTATCGTGTAATAAAATCTATGTATGTATTTAAAGAGAGAGAGGGAGAGAGAGTGTGTAAATAGTTCAAATGTTGATATTAACAGAATTTTGAATTTGGATTGTTTGCCAAAATGCGTTTCTTTTAAATGTGTAATTTGATGGTTATTGTCATATAAGTATATACATATGTACTACTTATACTTATGTACATATGTATGTACTTTAATGCACTCATGTTTGCACAAGCACATAAGCACTTTAAAGTGTCACGTCATCTTGTTTACACAAACTGTTTAAAAATTGACAAACAAGTAAGTCATTATGTGCAGGCCCCCACAAATAACGGCAAATAATGACATTGATTTCGAAGGCGATTGTCAGACGCACTGTCTCGTCGGCGTCGGCGTCAACGTCAGCATCGCTCTCTATGTGGGTGTGCATCAACACTAGAGAAAAGTGTAAATACGCGGACACAGTAAAACAACCGCTAAGAAAAAGCGAAACACGATAATAAAGTTTAAAATGAGCAGTCGTTTTTAAAGAAGAAATAAACAAGCACTATAATACTTTAAAATGTTGTTTTTAAGAAAGTGTTTTACACTATTTTTTTAATATATTACTTAATATCACGTTTAGCATTTGTGATAGCCAACTTCATTTTTTTAGTCAAGTCATTTTCACCAACAGAATCAATTTACATGCATGGAATATGGTAGTTTTTTAGAAGGTTATCCCTTGTTTTTAGATCTATTATTACATTTTTTCAAAGAAATGCGCACAAATTTGTAATTGTTTTGTGCAAAGAGTGTTCATTATCCGTCCGCCAAGCTTGAACCAAGGGAGACTTATTCTAATGAGCTGTTTTCTGAATAAATTCGAAAAGGAGGAGTTTATTTTGCAGTAAATACGCATTCTCTTGAACCTGTGTCATGTCTAGAATTTGCGTCATGTTCTTAAAAGGTAGTACTTGCATTATCAATATGCTGTCGAAAGTCTTATAAACAAAGAAGTTAGACACTAATTGTGAATTGTGAAATGTTTAAACTGGAACACACACGATCTTTAGAACATAAACATACAACAACGTTGTTAATAACATACACTGCGTTTTGCAACTAAAAACAAACAAACCAGAGTTTACTGTGCTGTAGTCTATATACATATATATATATCTGTATAATTACAGATGTATATGTATGCACATATTTACGTGTATGTATGTATGTATATATAAAAAATAAACCGCAACATAAGTTGTCGCACACGCGAAAATCTTTTGATTTTCCTGCACCAAATTTATGAACTTAGCAATAAAAGACACTCACGTCACGATGCTGCGACGAGCCTCAACAGCGAAAACGACTAATGGAAGGGGGGTAGGGGGAGTGTCTTAACACCCACACAAAAGTATATCACGCGTTTTCGCTGTCGGCGCCAGCACCAACAGGCAGACAACACAGACACAAGCACGGAAAAACTTGAACGAAATGAGACAGTTCTGTTGTAACCGCAACAACAACAACAAAAAATTGAGTGTTATAGCCGGGCATGGGTGAGAGACTTTATAGAGCAAATAAGAGAGCAAATGCTTAGGGGCGCGTTTAGACTTTATGTTTTTGTTTTTGCGTACGTGCCGCCTTGCACATACAACGACAAACTAGTAATAGGAACAACAACAGCGACCAGCCGGGCAAGAAAAAATTATAAAACATTAGAACAATAGAATAGAAAAACCGAAATTTGTAAATTTCCAAAGACAACCCAAACAGCCGCTGGTTGTTTTCCGTTTGTGCGTGTATTTGTAGCTGTGTTGTAATGAAGTAAACAAAAACAACTAAACAAAAAAGGTCTGAATGGTGCCACTACATAGATACATAGAAATTTCCCTAACTCATTCGTGCCATGTACTTGTAGAAACGAGCCCCTCGACAAATGATACCTCTTTTTTTAATACGTAAAAAATGAGTGCCGCGTTCTCTCCAATCTATCGATAGAAAGAGAAACCTAGTTCAGTATCTGCCTCATCGATCGCAGCCATCCTACCTGCAATCTCTGTTGAGTCAGCACGAGCTGACCTCTAGTGACCGAGAACTGACCATTTCAGTACTACAGGGTACATATACACACTCGCATATGGATGTGGTTGTGTAAATGTGTGCACACCCTTTCTCGAAAGTGCGTGAAGCAAACAACAACAACAACTTTCATGCTCTCTCTCTCTCTCGATGCGCTGCCGCTTTCTCTTTCATGCGCAGAACATTAAATTCGCTGGAAAACTAACCTATGGTAGCAAGAATAGCCGAAATAGCTATAAAATTTAACAGTACGCTGTCAATTGGCAGTCAAGGCTGCTCAGTTTAGAAGCACTCGCAAATAAAAGTTTATTCAACTAACCGAAAAAATCCATAAAAAATTGATTCAAATGTAGTTTAATGTTGTTTCAAAACAGCGAGCATACAATTTAACA